GCCAGGATCAGTGCCACTTTCCAGCTGATCGGCGCTTCTTTGGGACTGTCAGGGCTCAGTGGAAGCGCCAGGATCAGTGCCAGGCTCCAGCTGGAGCTCGGCGCTGATCCTGGTGCTTCTGCTGAGCCCTGAAGAAGCGCCGATCAGCTGGAATGTTGCAGCATCTCCAGGGTCTTGTGATTTACATTCAGATGCTTGGCAACTGATTCATACTTATGACGGTCACAGTGTCCCAGGGTCATGTGAAGTCACCAAAACCTGCTGCAACCACCCAGCAGACGGGGGAAATAAAAACCAAACACCCCCCACCCCACCCCCGCTGCCAATCCTCAACAGAAATGCTCACAACAATGAAAACCTCAGACAGGAGGAAGAGCGCCGCCGGGTGGGCAGGCAGGTGTCTTGCTCAGCTGTGGCTTGGGGGGCACTTTTTTCAGTGTTATTGTAACTTCGAACAGTCACTAAGCGAACTGTTGTAAGTCGAGGACTACCTGTACTTTTATCACTTTTTTCCTTTTTTTTTTTTTTTTTTTGGTCATCAAGTTTTTGACACCTTGCTTGGCGACTGGTGGCACTCAGATATTGCCATATCCTAAAAGTGGTACAATGGGTGAAAAGGTTGAAAAGTCCTGTCTTGGGATAGTTTTTCACAGTTAACGATCGTTGCAGCAGCATCCCCATGGTCACCTGATCAAATGTCAAGTGTGTCAATGCTGCTAACATTGGATGTTCTTGCTTTGACAACATATGGAGGTGCAGCCTTTTTTTTGTAATACTGTGTGCTGTATGCTAAGGGGAGGAAATTCCAGATTTTGGCTTGGACTATGTAAGTGCCGATGTGTTGCTGCTCAAATAAAGACTCTTTAAACAATGCTTCAAAGTTCTTTGAAGAGTTTCATATGTTGGAACCATAACATTAAGCCAAAATCTGGATTCCCCTCCCCTGAGCACACAGTATCAAAGCACAATTCCCTCCTCTAATTAACAGTCATAAATCACATTCTCCAATTAGTTTGAAATGCAGGCTTTCCCTTCTGTTCTCCAACCCGCCATTCCTTATCGTCTCTTATTTCAAAAGCTCTGAATGCACACACTATTACAATATTGTTATGTCTAACTAACTCCCATCACATTCCTCCTCCCCCCCGTATCATCTAATTCTAAGAGTAAAGCATAAGAAAGAAAAAGGCTGCACCTCCATATGTTGTCAAAGCAAGAACATCCAATGTTAGCAGCGTTGACAAAGTGTTTGTTCATATTTACAACGGTTGCAGCGATTTCCCCCCCCCCCAGGTCCTGTGATCCGCTTTTGTGACCTTCCGACAAGCAAAGGCCATGGGGAAGCCGGATTCACCTCAACAACGATGTTACTGTTTAAGAGGTGCAGTGATTTGCTTAACGACCGTGACAAGAAAGGTCGTAAAATGGGGCAAAACTCATTTAACACTGTCTTACTTGGCAGCAGAAGTGGTCATTAGGTCGAGGACTACCTGTATTGTCAAGGCAGGCCCAGTTCCAGGTGGGGGGAGGGGGCTAATTTCTGCCATCACCTCCATGAGGAATGACTTCACGACTCTCCATTCCAGCCTGCAGCCTTGGGATTTCCTAGTGGTCTCTTATCCCAGCAGTGCTGAGGCTCAAAATCACTTTTTTTTTTCAAATCTAAACTACCTTAACAAAATGAAATTTATTGGTGAAAAAAGTAAGGTTCTGCGTTTAGGCAAGAAAAACCAAATGTACAGGTATAGCATAGGTGGTACCTTGCGCAATAGTAGTAACTGTGAGAGGGACCTCGGAGTCCTAGTGGACAATCATTTAAATATGAGCCAGCCGTGTGCTGAAGCTGCCAAAAAAGCCAACACAGTGCTGGGCTGCATTAACAGAGGGATAGAAGGCCACACTTGGAATATTGCATCCAGTTTTGGTCACTACGATTTAAAAAAGATGTTGAGGCTCTAGAAAGAGTGCAGAGAAGAGCAACAAAGATGATCAGGGGAATGGAGGCTAAAAAATATAAGGAACGGTTGCTGGAATTGGGTATGTCTAGTTTAACAAAGAGAAGGATGAGGGGGGACATGATAGCAGCCTTCCAATATCTCAGGGGCTGCCCCAAAGAAGAGGGAGTCAAGCTATTCTCCAAGGCGCCTGAAGGCAGGACAAGAAGCAACGGATGGAAACTAATGAAGGAGAGAAGCAACCTAGAACTAAGGAGAAACTTCCTGACAGTTAGAACAATTAACCAGTGGAACAACCTGCCTCCAGAAGCTGTGAATGCTCCAACACTGGAAGTTTTTAAGAAGAGACTGGACAGCCATTTGTCCGAAATGGTATAGGGTTTCCTGCCTGAGCAGGGGGTTGGACTACATGACCTCCAAGGTCCCTTCCAACTTTATTATTATTATTATTATTATTATTATTATTAGTAGTAGTAGTAGTAGTAGTAGTAGTAGTAGTAGTAGTAGTAGTAGTAGTACTGTCCCCTATTTGGGGGCTTGTTAAGGAAGGCGAGGAGATGAGCACTAAAGAGAATTTGCTTTTTATTTTCCTTTCGTGCCTGGCCTTTTCATATTCTGTATCTCCTGCTTCAAAACCAGCAGAAATTATCTCAGTACTCATGCCAAAAATATAAATAGAAGACTTGCAGTTTGGCATGGAGGACATCCAGTGGGCGTGATGTCATTTCAGAAATGTGGAAAATGTAATTTTAGCCACTTAATAGATTTCTTTTCTTAAGAATGATTAGGTGGGTGGAGGCTAAAACACACAAAGAACAGTTGCAGGTATTGGGTATGTCTAGTTTCACGAAAAGAAGGACTACCTGTAACATGATCTCTGCGTCTTGCTGGTTTCCTAGCAAATGATGGCCTCTTTGGGGATTAAATCGACAGTCGCGTCCTTCAAGAGGCTTCCAAGGAACAATCCCAGGGTTATCGTGGCCTAAGCAGGAGTCTACCAGTCTCCATGAGGTTAATCGAAGTCCCCAATCATTGAAGGAGAATATTTGTAGCTAAGGGGTGAAATGAGGAGTCCTGGGTGCTCTCTGAGTTTGGTTGTTTTCTTGCAGATGTTTCATTACCCCACTAGGTAACTTCATCAGTGTTAGAAAGGAGGTGTGTGTGTGAGGAGAAGGAGAAGGAGGAGGAGGAGAAAGGAGACCGTGGAGGTGTGTGTGTGAGGAGGAGGAGGAGGAGGAGGAGGAAGACCACGGGGTCCTTGGTGCTCTCTGAGTTTGGTTGTTTTCTTGCAGATGTTTCATGACCCAACTAGGTAACTTCATCAGGAAGGAGGTGTGTGTGTGTGTGAGAAGGAGGAGGAGGAGGAGGAGGAGGAGGAGGAGGAGGAGG